ACTTGAATTATAAGCTAATATTTAATTATAAGTAGTTATAATTAGTTCAGTAGTTAGCACTGAATTATAAGGAGTAGTGGTTCAGCCGTGGTCGAGAGCGCACTCACGTATTTGTGGTCCCAAATTTTTAACTTTTGCTGTGCCGTTTCGTAACTATTTTCGCATTTTTTTAAGATACGTGTCAGTGAATGACCGAATTTTAGTGAAGTCAGTAAAAGAGAGTGAAGAAAGAAAGAACAAGCCTATAGTAAAAGTGTTTTCATCTTAAATAACGCGGGCTTTAGAGTCAGTGAGGGACACTTGATGCAGCAAGTGAGGGCAACGTCTGCACTGCCTCGCCAGCTTAGGTAGAACAAAACAGCCTTTCACTGACAATGTTGTGGCGGGAGACTGAAGCGCCAACTATAGAGGTATTGTGAATTTTTTATGTCATTGCCTTTGCTACTACGCTTATGGTGAATTTGCGGCTCAAACAATCGGGTAACATTTATACTTTTTTAACATTCATTCAATGAAAGAATAGTAAAATATGGATTTTGAGTCTACGGAATTATAAACCAGTATTTAACTATGTCATTCATACGAACCATAGTTGTATGGCGTTCATGACTATTTCAATAATTCAATAAATAATTAACATTTAAGCGTGTACTGATCCTCTTTCAAATAAAAACAAAATAAGCTGACAATTTTTACCACTTCGTTTCATCGGGAAGAAATTTTGTTAATCAATATTTTATAATACTCATTAATTGTGCCTACAGCTGATCCGGCGCACACGACAACGCCTGAGGCCAGTGGCGGCACCAGACGTTGGTGAGGTAAATGGAGCTGTGATGATTATGAATGATATTAATAAGATCAGGTAGACAAGATTCAAATGCTGAAAAAATATCTTTAGTGACTCTGTTTCCTCTGGTGAGAGTAAATGGATAATTTTCTCCGGAAATAACCTGAGCTGGTTCGGCATTCTTCACTATTGTGAGGATAATAAAAATTATGAAAATTTAATCCCACATAATGTTATTATGTGCTTGCAAGTTAATTTGTAATAATATTCTGCTTCACGTTTGTTTGCGAAATCTTATCATCTGGGAAACATTACACACAATCACTAGACTTGCTTCTGAAGAAAGTTTTCAAGGGATTCGTGAGTACAGTTTTGTTCATCGCTGTGATCCTCGCAGTCTGCCTCACCGTCGCACACCACGACGGAAGGCAGGCAGCGCCCGTCGGCCTTGCACTCGAGCTGCCATGACAACGGAAAAATATGCGTATTGATATATTACTGGCAATTTGGTTACTTGGGAGTGATTGGCTATTATCTAAACACAAGTTAATTTCGTGCAAGAACTATTACTCTATATACATACAAAGCATTCAAGTCATAATTCTAAGATCTCACGGTAGGCCACAGCAACAGAGAAAGTCGGCAGCAGAATAATATAAAAAAAATTCAGACAGCGCCAGGGGCCTTCTGATTGAAGAATATATTGCATAGCAATTTACATATTGACTTCAAACCGATATGTCTAACTCATAAGAGCTTAACTGCTGCGTCTTGATGGCCTTTTCTGTATGTAAGGTTTGGTTTAAACCACACCTTCAATTTGTACAACGCAAATGGAACCGGGCAGGCAATTTTGGGAGATTTTACAATCTTAGGTTTCATATTTTTACAATTTCTTCTCTTAAGTTTCATGTATGTAAAATTTATAATCTTAATTTCGATAGATTTACAAATTTGATGCCTCACAGTTCAGTTCATCACTATAGTCGCCGCAGTCGTTGTTGCCGTCACACAAGTTCCACTCGTGGATGCACATGCCGGAGGTGGGGCACGGTACATCGTAAGTGCTGCAGGTGCCTGCACAGTTATTAATCAAAGGTATGAGCATTATAATTAAATAAAGAATGAGAAACATTTTTTTAAATGAATATTGAGAAAAACATTCGAAGTTAATTTAAAATATTTTTGCATATAAAGACTAAATCCTTCAAAAAGGACGAACAATATTGACTGGGAAATGACGTTACATATATCAGCGAATTAGTACTTTGTTTAAAAAGAACAATGAATGTCTCCAGCAATTTTTCGTGCTCTTATACAGCAATCTAGTTTACACGATGTGTCGATGTAAAATTACTGTTATTTCTCTATCTGTTTTTATACTGAACACACCTACTCGTGAATTGCGATAAAATGTGCCATGAGATCCGTGAAACCGAATATGCAGAAAGTTGATTATTATTCTGATTACGAATCAAATCATTTGGCATTTAATATTTTCGATACTTGAGTGAATTCTTTTCAAAAAGAAAACTGTTATTTGAATAATTTACTGTTAATAATTAATTAATAATTAATAATTCTGAGACCTCAGTTTTTAAAATTTATTGCGCTGCAATTTCAATATAGAATTATCAAACATTCAATTGAATAACATTGAGTTATGTATTCATTCATATTCCTTCACATGAACGTATTAATTTCAGTACTCGCCGCCATTTGCACTCGACATTAATTTATTATAGTCTATATAATGTTTTGAACTATGTTCACTCACAGTTCTGCTCATCGCTGTAGGATCTGCCTAAGGATATTAGCCCGAGCAGCAGCAGATGTAGCTTCCAGTTGTAGGCGACAAAACCCCTCTTGAATTGCATTAGTTGCATAGTTTTCATCAATTTTAGATGCAACATGATCTCTGCAACCTATATTATGGAAGATGTATACACGTCAAAAAATCCATAGAGGCGATTGTAGAATATTTTTTCCATTTGAACAATTTTGGTTTTGTGATATAAATATTTTTAATTACTCCGAAATTAGCACAATTTCGAGTCAAAAATTAATTTAAAATTATCAACAATGAAATTCATAAGAACATTTATGAATATAATAATTGAAAACATGAGGCCAATCCAGTACTCACCTCCATGGATGGTTCGCTGAAATTTTACGTAAAAATTAAACAATTACGAAATAAAATTTTGATAATCCTCTGGAAAAAGTAATAAAATAAAAAATATTTGCCGTATTTTTTATACTGTTAGTGAAGTTTTTTCGTTAGTACGTATGATGTGGTTGTTCCATTTAAAGGATAACTGTTCTACTTTCTAAATGATAAACCTAAATGGTTAGCTGACATTTATTTCTTATTTATTTGTGGACATTTAATTATTAAATCTTGACACAAATTTTAACATACACGTGATTCTTGGGTCGTGTCGTAATGTAATTGAAGTTATTTGAGACAAAGATTTTCGATAAAGCACAAAAATATTCTTAGATCTCGCTTTTGCAGTACTATGTCTGCGTGCTGTAACCCTAGCTTATCCTGGAAATGTACAGAAGCCGATGGATACTTAATGTGTCAGTATTTTATGAGAATGCTATTTTTAATGATGGGTTCTGTTACATTAGGAAATAAGAGGAAAAGATGGATTTTAAATCCAGAGACGATTTTTGTTTTGTTAAGTACAAGTTGCGTGCAAAAATTATAGCATTACGTTTCATTTCATGAAACAGGACTTGAACAGGAAATCCGCGATAAATGTGGGTTTAACCAAGTTTTTCTATAAGAAACTTTCAAATAGTTACTTGATTCGTGTTGATGAGTTCGGTGTGACTCGAGTCAGGATCTCGGGACTTAATATTTGACTAAGATAATCCTTTAAATGAAAAAATTGTGTGCAACTTGATACTCTGCTACATTGACTCATCAGAACCTTCTAAAAACTTAAATAGCAAAAATCTCAAAACAAAACATATATTCGAGAAAGTTTATCCTTTTCTGTGGTGTTCGCATTTCACGAATGCGTAATGTTAATTCTATCATAGTGCAGTACTTCGATGTTGTTGGAGCTCATGCGAAGCGAGATAGAGATGGCAGCATCCGTTCACAGTCTTGGTGTCGTTTAGTAAACTGATTCCGGATGCAAATACGTAACAGCCTCACCAGAGATCGCAAACGAAATACAAATTTACGCGCTCCTTAATGATTGCAGACGCGCCTAATGTTGTCTTACATCAACATATTTGGTTTCCGATTTTCAATTATTGATATCCTCCGAGTGAAATTTTTTATTGAACTTACCTCTATTTTCTCTCAAGTTCTGGGAATTTTGTGGTTATCAAGTCTTGGCTCGGGCGGAAACGTTCGCTGTTGCAGCGAGCGATAAAATTTAGCTTTGCCCGCAGTCTTGTCCCAAGCAGGCGGCAGAGGCGGCCTTACGCTGACGCCTAGCTCATCATTAATACGAACGTGGGCCCTTAAAAGAGATCAGGGATTAAATTTGTTTCATCTGTTTGCAGGATTATAAATAATTTCAGGTTGTGGTTTAAGTCGATTGCAACAAAAAATATAAATTCGACTCCTACCTTTTTTCAAGTATTAATATCACTTGATTGCTTAAATAGTAAATTTACTTGAAATTTAAAGCTAAGAAATTTCCACAAAAATCGGTGCGCAATTTTCAGTGCATTCAAATTTATATTTTTTCCAACGCGTATACCAAAGCGCAAAAATTAAAAAAGGTCTGACTTTAGTATAACTAAAGAAATTCTGTATACCAGGGATTAAGTTTTTTCAATGCGTTTACGTGTGTCTGATCTCAAAAATTGAAATGATACCTAACCATGAGATCTGTTCATCTTTATTTAAGTGAAGTTGGTTTGGCGTTAATGAATTAATTCTGGTCTTTGGTCACATGAACGTGAACAAGAAATTTATCCAATCATATATTCTCATGAATTTAAGTTTCACCGCTTGGTGCAGTTTCGATAAATATATAACATGCATGAAAAATATGAAAATTCTGTAACAGGCCATTTATTTTTCTGATATATTTCCATTACTTGAAGTTTTACAACTGAATCTTGAGCTACATTTCATGTTCATGTCCTTATATGTTTTTAAAATACCCCCTCATGTCTGCATTTATAATGTTAGGAATCAGTATGTTTAGAAATTGTTTATTTCTTTTACATACTACAATGCTAATCACATATTGCGCAACTGATTCGCTATTAACTATCGCGATTAACTTCAATCAATTGCTTTATTGCATTGTTTTAGTTTATTCACAAAACACATAAAATTTCATTTTAAAATTAATACTTCAATTAAGTTGAATTATGTTGAGAGTCTCTATTAGTATAACCATTCTTCAATAAAAGTATCAGTGAAGACCGCAAGTTACACGCGTGACGTCATCAGAGCGACGGGATGAGGGTGCCTGAGAAGGCGCTGTGCCTGGCGCTGCTGTGCCTCACGGCCGCAACGGCGCAGTCGCCTGCTGCTGATCAGGCATGCGTGACAACGTTTGGGAACAGTGCCGGCACCAGTCATTGGTGAGGGGAATGAAGTCATAACTATTATGAATGGTATTATTAAGGACAGGTAGATTGGACTTGATTACTGGAGTTATAAAATCTCTGGTTCTTTGGTTGCAGAAGTTATTGAAGCGAGGCAAAATGACAACAAGTTGACGAGTTAGTCTGTGTAAAGAATGGTTAATAATTGCAATAACGTTGAATTAGAGGCCGCTGGTACCAGTAGGCGAGTGGTATAGTGCCTGATAGAGAAACACAATGATATATAATGTAGATACCAAATGTCAATATAAGTTGACAGTCTGCCAAAATAACATGTACAACTCGTGAAATAGCGGGAAAATGTTTTATGGAGTCACGTACGTTGACCACATTGAGTCGAATTGCTTTAAACAAGAAAACGCGGCATAATTAGCATCACAAAACTATCCAAAACTGAAAATAACATTGTTTGTATCATATTATGCCAAACCATATCATATTACTCTGTAAAGTTCGGCAATTGCCAAACCATATCATATTACTCTGTAAAGTTCGGCAATATGCCAAACCATATCATATTACTCTGTAAAGTTCGGCAATATGCCAAACCATATCATATTACTCTGTAAAGTTCGTGTAATTCAGGAAGCAATAGATTAAGTTCAGAAGTAGAATTCGCTGAACACAATACTGACCGAACTACGAGGCATATTTTTCAAGTCAGTACCGTTTTGGAATTGAAAAAAGACGTGCAAAGATATCTCAATAATTTTCTTTTTACGTAAAAGCCTGTACCTCAATCTACTTTTCTGCATAATTTTTGTGAATATTGATGTACTTGTCATAACGTGACACCAGTTTTTGAATACCCTCTTGATAAAATTCTGCCGCCTGACTTGTTTACCACTGCATCACAAATGTTTTGACTTGGTTATCGTCTTGAAGACGCCGACCGCCCAGATGTTTCTTCAAGTGCAGTATGATGATCACACTGCTCTTGATGCATCAAATGCATCACACTGCACTCTTCATTTGTGATGCAGTGGTTAACAAGTCAGGCGGCAGAATTTATCAGGATGGTATTCAAAAACTGGTGCCACGTAACGACATCTGCCTCAATATTCACGGAAATTATGTAGAAAAGTAGATAAAGGTACAGGCTTTCATGTAAAAATAAAATTATTGCGATATCTTTGCACGTCTTTTTTTTATTCTAAAACGATACTGACTTAAAAAACATGCCTCGTATTTTCTCCAACTTTGCATCAGGTGCCCGGGCTCGTGCACGACATGGCGGGACCAGTCCTACTCCGAGGCATACGGCGGGGGATCAGACGTTACAGGCACTTTAATTTATGACGGGGTGAGAGAAATTAACAGCATGGCAGCAATGATATGCTTTCAGCCTGAAGAAAATGTAATTCCGAGCCAATCACATTTAAGGTTTTTCGGGAGAAGTCTGGTTTTGATAAAGTTAACAGAAATATTGAAAATTTAGGTACTAATTTTGTTTTCTCAGGTCAGAGGTTACAAGTTGTGCCAAGAAATTTTACCTTAATCCTCAATTCATTCATCACGTTTTTCAATTATAATTTTCTTTATGTTATGTGTGGATATGAATTTGCCGGTGGTGTTTGCAAAAGCGTTTGTCAAGGCAAAAAATTAGACAATTTTATTGGCACCTTTACTTAAAAGTAATGAGTTTATGTCACTTAGGCATGGGATAGTTGAAGTTGAAATATAAATCATGTTTAGATGTCAAATTATGGTCGGAAATTAAGGTATCAATTCAATTTATTTATTAAGCATAGGGGGTGGATTTGAGATGATGATTCGCGATATTGGAACAATTTTCTCATTTGTGAACATAATTTTTTTCCTTTCAATGCTCTATCGATTTCGCGCATTTGCAAGCTAAACTCGACTCATTAACGTAATTTCAAAAAATTTGAATGAACGCCACGACGTTGTCAAACTCGAGTTCCGCGACTGCGAATAAAAATCCTGAATGGTGTAGTTGATAATGAGATTTACAATAGTATTATTATTTACAACTATTGTGTTTCTCAAAAATATTTCCTAGTCGGCCTGTCATGCAGTTGCACAAGACTATTTCGATCATGTTAGAACCCAAGGTAAGACATTCAACTTTGTAACTGCTGCTCTGACCGAGCTGAACGTGGCAGAGCTCCCCGGTGTGTCTGGCCGCCCTCCACGCCGGCGTCTTGCGGGCCGGGGAGGACAAGGCGGTCGCCTTCACATCTGCGACGGCCACCGACAGCTTCGTGGGCACAATCCGTAATCGCGTTGTGTCGAAATACAAGGAAGTATCGTGAGTAAATACTTGTTATATAATAAAATTAAAGACTGTTTTTTTATAATTTATTCGCGTATTGTCTATAACTATGTTGCGTTATAGAAACTTTTGAAATTACATCACTGTTGAGATCATTTTCTTCTTTGACAAACTGCTCATTTTGGAAGAAATTTACCTTCTTGAGACATATAATTGAGTGATGCTTGCAAGACATTAATCGCTCCGTCATAGAGAAAATGGATGATACCATTCATTACAGGTGAATATTTGTGAATATTTAATTTTCAGTGAGAGATAATTATGTTATTTTACTGGAGTTATGTTTCATGTTAAGAAACTGAAATAAAGTCAATAATCAAATTTCAATATAAATAATAAATATTCAAATTTTTTGATACCACGTAGAGATTTATCCTAATAAACTTCACATTTTTTACAGGCCAAATCAACAATCGTTCAGTTTCAGTGAAAAATCCTCCCCAACGACCAGAGGTGAGGCCACCGTTAAGTAATCATTTTTTTTTATTTCAAGTACCAACTATGCTATTAATTTCATGTCTAACGACAAATTATGCTGGTGGTTATAATATAAATGCGCCAATTATGCTCATATATTACATGTGTTAAGCATTAATTATTTTCGAGTTTATGATGTCAACGTATTCATTATTTCATTGATTTATGTGTTTAAGTATCTCAACACTTTATATCAGTACATAATAATAGGCCAAACAAAGCAACGCTATCTTGGCGCTTATAATATCTAGGTGAAAATTACTTCTGCATTTAGAAAGTGAAAGGGGAAATTGCCTTAGTCTATAAATCTTAGGAACCAACCATTCTCACCTCTCTGATATCTAAAAAGCATATATCCTCGTTCTTAGAATGTACTTGCGTCAATCAAATAAAAGAAGTTTCCATAAGAACATTGTTTTTAATTTTCATGATATCTTAACATCAATATTGTCCCCGAGTATACACTGGTCAAGCGCAATAAGTATTCTCGTGTTTAAAACATGAATCATGAATTATTCCCATGTCGAAATTATTCCCAATTATGTCACAAACAAATTTTTACCTCACGCCAGCCCCTACGGCCCCCCAATTGAGCTTCAGGCCGTCCGCCACCACCGCTGACGTCACTTGGACGTCGCAGCGAGCAGAGCGCTTCAACGTGTCTTGGGTGGTGAGAGTCAGGAGGTTGTGTTGTGTTCAGCCGAGTTGACTGCAGTCATTTGTCTTCCAAGACGATAGTAGACTTAGCTTGTGAAATGCCGTTAAAAATTATAATGTTTGGAGTTTTGTTAGTTCTAAAATGTAAGCCATAACGCTGTCATTTACTTTCTGATGTTACAACGACATCAGATTATCTAATTCCAAAAAATGATGGAGATGAAGATTCCTTACGTGCTCGATCAATATTGGACCAATTTCTCTGTTCAAGTATATAGAGTATTTATAATAGAGTGTGTAATTAGCATTAAATGTCAGAATTTACTTGTCTAAACTGTACACGTGAGATTGATGACAACGTGTCATCACGTGTATAAACGAATAGAGTGTGTATTCACAGGTTTCGCTGGTTCGACAAGAACAGCAGTTCTAATGTAGACCTCCTGAACAAAAGGAATAAATTAGCCTTTGCGGAGTGGCCGAATGACCTGAACTCGTCAATAATAAAAACAGATTCAGGGTAAGGCCACGGTGCAGCGTGAGATCTAAAGTATGCAAGTCCATTGGTGAGAAATTTAGGCTGAAGAAATCAAATTCTTTCCAACACTAACAACGCCAATCAATTCTTCAACGCACTAAAAACTGTCTACGGGCCATTGAAACCTGGTACCTAGCCATTGGTGTCCTCGGATGGTGTCAGCCTCTTCAAAGGCAAAGAGGCAGCAACAACAGGTGAATAGAACCCTTCAGCCACCTCCACAATCTTCCTTCCTCAGTCGATCAGGCGCCCTTAACCAGATCCACCAATCACATCACTGGACAACAGGACGTACATCCTACAATTAAAGAAGTCAAAAAAGCAATCAAGTAAGCGCGGTCAAGGCGTCCGAAAAAGACGGGATCTCAGATGAAGTGCACAGGGTGTTGGACGAAGCCACAGTCACTTCAGGCATTGCAGGCGTTCTCAGCATATGGGAGAAGGAGGCCAGGCCACCAAAACTCAGACAAGCCTCCATTATAGCCGGAGCAGAACCTGCCTGAATCACAGTGTAACTTCCGACCAGACTGCAGCTCAATCGACATGGTCTTCACGGTCACTTCACTTCAAGCAAATATAGGAAAAATGCATCAAACAGAACTTGAGTGTGCATTTTGCTTTACTTGACCTGAAGAAAGCTTTCGACTCGGTAAACAGGGACACTATGCGGGTGCTCCTCTTCATGTGGGCTACCAATAAAATTGAGCAAACTGGTGTAGCTCTTTCTTGTCCACATTGCGGGCGAGATCCTTTCTGATGGAAAGCCTTGTACTTTGGACGAGCCTACTCCAATGTAAGCCTGGCCCTATAAGCCTAGTCCAATGTAAGCCTCGAACATTAGGACTTTAGGAAATGTCCAATGTAGCTTAGGACTTTAGGAAATGTCCAAGCCTAGTCCAATGTAAGCCTCGTACATTAGGACTTTAGGAAATGTAGCTTGCGCAAATAGATTTGAGTGCATAGAGACAACCGTCATTTTCGCTTTCAAAAGACTACCTATGTATGCATGTTTTACGCAGAGGACGAGAAGAGGTGGCTGCAGAGACAAAGAACACGAAAATGTTCGACAGTTTNTGTACGAGCCCCGCGTGCAGCTGACGCAGCTGGAGGCGTACACGGAGTACGAGGTTTGCGTGCTCGCCTTCAACAGAGGCGGGAGCAGTGAGACGTGCGGGGCGCAGCTCACCCTGCCTAACAGCGGTGAGGGGTGCCGCCTTCACATTCACGGAATAACCACGTATTAATAAGCAGTTGTGCTGGACACGTATAATGACTAGGAGAGAATAATTCCATGCTATTTGGAGATTTAAACATATTATTTAATCCTTCCATTGGAACTGGTTTAATTTTTCTAGAAAATCAAGGGAAGCAAACAAATCTGGGGCCTTCTGTCTTGCTTCTATAATTGAATTCTTAATTTTGGAGTGGCGCTTCAATTAATGAAAGAAAGCCGGATGGGCTTCATCATTACTCTTCTGTGGTCCTTATTAAAAAATATTTTCATTCTCTCTTTTGCTTTGAATTGCCACGTTCTCAATATGCCTAATATTTGATTTTTACCACAAAAAAAAAAAACAGAAATATTTTCAGGGCTTGTAACAATATCATAATTAAAATAAGTAAAAGGAAAAATCACTGTAAATCCAAGAAAGGTTCAATTCTCGATTTATATCGATATGTGATTTATTTTTACAGCTCCTACCTTGCCAGTTACTCAACTGGAATGCCTGTATTACGAATGTTCCGTTCACGTCGGTGACGGCTGTTCACAATACAACGGACCCAACCTGACACTCGTGTGGACGTTTTCTGGAGCCCCGGCCTGCAACGCTTCTGCCCGACATTCACTGCGTTTTGAAGATAAAATATCTTACTTTGGTACAAAAAGTTTCGATGTCGAAAATATAAATCTTCTGCCCGGAATAACTTACAACGTGAGCGTGTCTGTCAAGAACGACTATGGGGAGGGCCAGCCAGTGCACACCACATACGCCAGCCCGAATGACAGAGGTGCGTGTGCCACACATGGGTTGAATTTCTTTTTTTCATGTACATTTTAACTTACTCTTACGCAAACTTTCTTATATATTTTAACTTTAACATCATTTAACCAGGACTCATACACTCGTAGATATTTCAGCGAATTCAGGGAATATGTTACGAACAACGGGCTAGATTATGATTGATCGTGTTCAGAGTTCTATACCATGTTTGCAAATGCTACGCGATTTGTACATCAATTCGAGCTAACACGAGGCATGTTTTTTTAAGTAAGTACCGTTTTGGAATTAAAAAGAGACATGCAAAGATATCGCAATAATTTTATTTTCACATGAAAGCCTGCGCCTTAATCTACTTTTCTACATAATTTCCGTGAATATTGAGGCACTTATCATAACGTGGCACCAGTTTTTGAATGCCCTCCTCACAAAATTCTGCCGCCTGACTTGTTAACCACTGCATCACAACGACCGAAGGACGCCCACCCCGTTTTTCATCATGCACATTTGTGCGGCCATTTTTAATTGTTCTCACCCATTTCCTCACCATTCCATCACTCATAATGTTTTGTCCGTAAACTTCAACGATTTCACGATGAATATCGATCGGTTTTACGCCTTTAGCAATAAGAATCGTATAACAACGCATACTGCACAATCAGCGGAACTTACGATTGTCGGAGGCATCTTAAGCACTCAGTAAACAACGTATACAATGAAGAATCAGACTGTAATGGCGTCAGTGCGTAGACAAGAGATGTAGGTAACCAACGCGCATGTGCGGAACGCCGACCGTAGCGCAGCGGCGGCGGAATCGCGAAACGCTACTTACTTGAAAAAACATGCCACGTATTGGAAACTTTTTCAATGCGGTTGTCAAAGAATTCCTCAAACGGGTAGACTGCATGTATTTATTGTTACTTAAAGTATGCCCTCTACGAGGTTAAATGATATTATTTGGCATTTGCAAACGAAAAAAAATGATGTTTAATATGTCCTCACCATCAGTTCCCGGGCCGGTGGAAGAGTTGACCTCAACTGCAACGTCCAATTCCGTCAGCCTGCGCTGGAGAATTCCTTGTCCCCCCAAGGCCCCCATCCTCAGTTACCGCGTTATTGTCGATGGTATTGAGCTTAACCGCCGGTTATACTACTCTGAGTCGGAGTGTCCCGGTAACGCAGCCCACTTCTGCCTCACCTTCACAGAATTGAATCTTGATCAGACTCACAAATTTGAAGTAAGATAGAGTAGGGTAAATTAACTTAAAATATCTGTGATAACGACTTCACTAAAAGAAAAACGATGGAGATTAATAATGAAAATTCCAAGAAAATTAGCCTTGGGAATTGTTCGATAACTTGGTCCAGGCGGTGTACTGCATCAGATACTCTGGAAAACGTTAGCGAGTTTCATTTAAAAGGAAACTCTTCTAAATAAAATTAATTTCCCCATTATGGTAAAGTCGCAATTTACTTCAATTGTTTGTCAATGAGGCTTGCATGAAGCCTGGACCTTCAAATTTCGTATCTGAGCTTCATCCGTTGAGTTTCATTATTGCATAATTCAAAATTTATTTTGTTGATAAAACAAGACAAACTGTGTTGGCCTACAGGTAGAGAGCTGCACAAGCGACCCTTATTGGGAATGTTCTGCAGCGGAGACGATAAGCGTCAGGACACAAGAAACAGGTCAGGCGCTGTGGGCACAGGATCTCTGGCATCCTGCCCACGGACTTTTTCAACTCTAGAGTTTGTCGAGGATTTTCTTCAATACCAATAATTACATTTAATAATACAACTAGTTGCGTTAGCACTGTGGCTAATCAGGCAATAATTAATTTAATCCAATGAAACTTGGTTGAACGGTTGATTGAACTTGGTTTGAAATTCAATCAATTAATATTGATTAAATTCATTAATACTATATTACAGCGTCAATTCAAGCGATTATTCATTATGAAGTCGTCGTGAATGATTGAATAAAATGTAATGAACTACAAAATGAATAAAAAACGAATTATTAAGCTGAATGCGACAAAATCGTCATATTTCCGGATACTAGCATTTATTGCGAGTAATAATGAAGCTGATTTCTGAATTAGACTTTATGCAATCAGAATATTAATTGCAATTATTCATGTTGACCGATAACTCATATTATTTTTTTTGTCGATTGAGATCGTTTTAATCTCGTATTATTAATCTTGAATATTTATTCAGACGTAAATGATACTGAATAGTAAAATAATTTAGCCTTGAATTTCTCTGATTATTGAGAATTTTCGTATCGTTTTTTGTGACTTCACATGGCTGGGGTGTTGTAGAATAAAAAATTGTTGCCAGAGAGATTTGGAAATTGACGAAGTATTTACGAAGTATTTATTTAAATTTAAAGCTTATTAGCCATAGCATCTTCCGTACTGCCGGAGATCGTAATTTTGAATCTAACAAACCATACAAAATGTTACCTGTGTAGCAGTTCAAAGTTTAATTTGCCAATGATATTTCATAATAAAATTAAGACAGTGCGGAGAAATCATCGAAATATTTGTAAATGTTTCAGCCAAGGTGGAGAGGGACTGACGTCTCTGAAGGGAACCTTGACTTTCAAGAACTGGGCTTTGCGACGAACATCGTCTTCGTTGCTGGAAGGGAATTGATTTCTATATATACTGACGTGGGACTAAATTGTGCCGTCTTTACTGGCTTGGAACTAAATTGTGCCAGATAGAGACTTGAAAGCTGTAACACTTGTTTCAAGTCTGTGCGACAAATTTATTTTAAAATTTATTTGATGCTTGTCTGGCATAAATTGTAACCAGCTTTTTAAACACGTTTTGTTTACATGCCAAGATACATATTATAATTCAAGAAAAATTCGAGACTCTAACTATATTATAAATGCATTTATGCTCGATATGCGTCACCGTGTGTAGGCATAACGTCAAACAGTTTCTATTCTAGTCTAACGGGGCTTGAAGGGAGGAGTTAGTGAACTGGACATATAGCAATGCGTCCCCGCATTCAACTGAATGCATTAATTAAGAGATTTTAAAATTGTAGTTTGCACTCCCGGTGCGTTAATTCCCACTTTCGTTTCACGAATTTATGCTTCTTGTACATTAAAAATCGAACCTTAGTTTGACTGCCATTTTTGTTTATGCCGACTTCTTGAAATTGGATATAGATAAGTTTGTCTGCTTTTTCTACGTTATTCGCTTACTAATTTAGATTTCACGTTTATTTTGCCAATTTGCGATTCAGTTATCCCTGCGTCCTAGAATTTTTATACTGATGATGTTGTAGTTGGATACAGAAGCGCCATCTATAGATGTATTGTGAATTTTTGGTTCAAACATTCGAGTGACATTTATACTTTTTTTAACATTCATTCAATGAAAGAATCGTAATATGTTGTGTTCCTCCGAAGAAAATTATGCATGGAAATTTATGAGATCGAATTATGACATGATTTTCTTGATTTTCTTTCTCAATGATAACGATTGACTTCATCGAGTCTAGTTTAGTGATTCAGTTAACTTTGTTTGCGTTTTGTTGTAACGTTTTCAGACCACTGCTGGCCAATGCCAACACGGAGGCCTGCTGAGCTACGCCCGCTGCCGACCATGAGTCGTTGAACACAGAAACCGCTGAAAAAACTGAAACTCGCTAAAAGAACGTTGATAAATTAATTTTAATTCTATGTTTATCATTACTCACATTTTTTGTATGTTCTGAATGCTTTGCCGTCCTGAGCACAACACATTGCATGTTCATTGCGTGAATGGTAGCGCATCCATCGCTATCTGCCCTACGTAAGACGATCACTTAGTGTAAAGCACTAGTGAAGTTTATGTTCCGAAATCTCTCTAAGTTTTGATGTAATTAGGCAACATCGTCTTTAATATTTTACCTCATTGGATGACTATATTGAAGAACATATTTTGACGGCACTGTGTGTGCAAAATCACAGTTATAAAATAATTTACGCTTAACATCAATTGTATTTTGTTTCATACTAATGGTTCGCTCTCTTATGTAAGTCGTTTTTCCAGTCGGTCTCTCAATTTTCCTCTGTGTCTCATTTGTTGAACCCCATTGTGATAATTTCTTGCACCTATGGAGCCATGAATCCTAATTAGGGAACTCAAATCTACGGAACCAGAGACCAGCATTTAACTATATCATGCACATGCACCTTAGTTTTAAGGCGCTCATGACTAATTCAGAAATTTAATAAATAATTAACATTTCAAACGTGTATTGAACCCCTTTTACATAAAAACAAAATAAGTTATCAATTTTTAATACTGTGTTTCATCGGAAAAAATTGTTAATCAATATTTTATACTCTATAAGAATCGTTAATCGTGCCTACTAGGTCGATCGGGGAACATGTAGAGATGCGACGTAAAAAAAACACTCATGTTTTTTTTTAATAAAAAACAATTTTTTTTAATAAAAAACATCAGCCTAAAAAACATGTTTTTTATTGTTTTTTTTAGAAAAACATAAATAAATGCAAATAAATCCATAATCACTTTACCTGAGGGCCACAGGATGATAGGTGACAGGACTTGACTTCAATATGTTTACTTGAAATGGAGTACTTTTTTTAGATGCTTTTATTTTTTCTACAGATTTTGATATCAGAGTCTGGTATCTGGTTGGGAGGGACTGAGTCATAGTCTTAGACTCATAGGTCATGGTGAGTGACGTAAAATGGAATGCTTTGAAAATATTTATTTGTTGTATTTTTTGCATACTTTGATTTTTGAGTACAATAAGGAAATGAAAAATTTGTTTATTTACCCTTTTAAGCTTTGAACTAGAAGTATTAGGCTTGATAAATTATAAATCACACATGAGATATGTTAAATAAGATTTAAAAACACATCATTTCAATGTACATTAAGGGTATAGATATATTGATCCCAAATAAATACACGAAAGAAAAAAAAACAATAAAAAACAAAAAAAAAAACATAAAAAAAACGTTTTTTTACTATAAAAACACTCTGGAAAAAAAACGTTCTTTTTTTGCATCTCTAGGAACATGTCGGTATGTTTCCAAGACACTCAAAAATGGAAACACGTATACAAGTCGATCTTGCAATCTTAACCCTTTACCGCCTGATTTTCTGGGCGGAAAATTGGCAATTTCGATTTTCCTGTTTGTATGCTGATCTTACAGCTGACATTCTAACCTATCCAGCGATACCAAAATCATCTCTGTACGTTGATTCGTTCACGAGAGATCGCGAAAGGGTTAAGGGTGGTGGAGTTCTTTCACATTTAAGATAAGCGGATATTACCGGCCGGGCACATAGACGGTCTGAAGATGCTGCTCTTTAGTTACCCGGCTACTGTCGTGTGGGATGGTGCTCATACAGTCGTTCCCACCATCCTTGACTGAATTTCAGCTCCAGTAACGTCTAGTCTTGTTTCAATGCCACCTTGAATGTCTATTTCGAGGCGCTCGAGACTTTGTCGCGCTCTACTGAACATTCACACTTATTGCCACTGCAAACCTCTCTTCTCGCAGAGTTTTTGAGCTACAGCAATGAGAGATATACCGTTCGATTTGCAAATAAAAGACCTAGAGATTTCTCTTAGCTTTTTTTCAACTTCGTTATATTTTTTGAAAATATTTTGAAAAAAGGTGGGGAAAATTCGAAAGGGTGGGGTGGGGGTTGGTAAATCAAAAATTTTCGAAAAATGCCCATCCCGCCCACAAAAATTCTAATTTAAAAAAAAAAACACAAGAACCAATCGATAGATATGGTCCTTACGCATCGAATGATACGAGTTTCGATGTTGTAGCTTGAAAATCCTAGGAGAAGATAGATTTCTACACTACCCCCTTTGTGGCCGTTTTCTAAGAATTTCACGTTTTCTTTCATTTTTTCAAAATATTTACACGAACAAAAAAGTCTTAGATTGGTTTTTTTACACATGTGAACCAAGTTTCAAAGTGATCCGTCAGTAAATAACCGAAATAAAATTTCCACAATAAATTGGAAATTTCCATTGAAAATTGAAAATTCTAATTCGGTTATTTTCACACGGATCACTTTGGAACTTGGTACACATATGTAAAAAATAAATCTAAGACTAAGATAAATCTAAGATTCGGGTCAATTTTTTGAAAAGAAAGAAAGAAAACGTGAAATTCTTAGAAAACAGGCGTTTTTTTAAAGGCGTTTTGAAAGTCCAATTTGGCGGTAAAGGGTTAATAATTCGCAGGGCGCCTTGTGTCAAAAGTTACGTGTGGCTTATGATTTTTATCTTCCTATTTCGATTAGGAAAGCGATTGAGTCAATGAACTCACCCGCCACTTAACAAAATCAACAAAAAAAGTGCGATAATTTTAGAACAAGCAAGAATGAGTTGACTGTAACGCAAAATAAATTTAGTGGTATACTGATTTTCATATACACACCAGCATCCCCATATACGATTACGTGCTCGCTTAAGTGAGTGCTTAGGTGTTGCCGTGTGCAGGGGGAGGTGATGAGGTGTTGCCGTGTGCAGGGGGAGGTGCTGAGATGCTGCCGTGTGCAGGGAGAGGTGCTGAGATGCTGCCGTGTGCAGGGAGAGGTGCTGAGGTGTTGCCGTGTGCGGGGAGAGGTGCTGAGGTGTTGCCGTGTGCAGGAAGAGGTTTTGAGGTGTTGCCGTGTGCAGGGAGAGGTTTTGAGGTGTTGCCGTGTGCAGGGAGAGGTGCTGAGGTGTTGCCGTGTGCAGGGAGAGGTTTTAAGGTGTTGCCGTGTGCGGGGAAAGGTGCTGAGGTGTTGCCGTGTGCAGGGGAGGTGCTGAGGTGCTGCCGTGTGCGGGGAAAGGTGCTGAGGTGTTGCCGTGTGTAGAGAGAGGTGCTGAGGTGTTGCCGTGTGCAGAGAGAGGTGCTGAGGTGTTGCCGTGTGCAGGGAGAGGTTTTGAGGTGTTGCCGTGTGCGGGGAAAGGTGCTGAGGTGTTGCCGAGTGCAGGGGAGGTGTTGCCGTGTGCAGGGGAGGTGCTGAGGTGTTGCCGTGTGCAGGGGAGGTGCTGAGGTGTTGCTGTGTGCAGGGAGAGGTGCTGAGGTGTTGCCGTGTGCAGAGAGAGGAGCTGAGGTGCTGCCGTGTGCAGGGGGAGGAGCTGAGGTGTTGCCGTGTGCAGTGAAGGTGTTGCCGTGTGCAGGGGGAGACGCCGAGCCTGGAGCTGGTGACGCGGATGGCGCACGACGAGGACGTCAACAGCGTCGCATGGCATCCCAGCGCCCGGGGGCTCCTCGCCTCTGCTAGCGATGACAACCGTCATCGCTAGCACTTAACACTGATCATTAAAAGACTGGTGCAAATGCCACGTATTTTACTCATCATCAGCGAGAACCTAGACAACAGAAGAGGAAATTATAGCATAGCGCAGCTACAACATGTTAATGGGCAACAAAACACCTATAATGGATCGACCCTCCCCATGCCGCCCCGTCCTTGATGTGGGGGGAGGGCTTGCGAAATGCAATGACGGTTGGGGTTGTGTTGTCGGGGTTTCCCTGGTAGATTCAATTGGGAGGCTAATGAGGCTACCTCATTACCTCATGACCCCATCGGTGTAAAATAAACCGGGCCCTGATAGTTACGGATTAAAAAGCCCTTCGTATTATCAGAGAAAGATCTGGGGGCCGCCTCGGACCCAGGCTATCGGTGGGAGGGGTATTTACGCCTACTGATCGGTGTTCGCCCGCCTAACAGCAGAGATACCGATCCCCCGAGAGACCCCCTTCCGGCTTGAGCTAGCCTGGATAGGGGGAGGGAGACCGCTCCTAAAAGGGGCACCTAGAGAATATGATACCGATCCCCCGAGAGACCCCCTTCCGGCTTGAGCTAGCCTGGATAGAGAGAGGGAGACCGCTCCTATAAAAGGGGCACCTAGAGGCAAGCGCTTGCCTCCCTAAAAAAACCTCTTTCGGCAGATGCTTCGTTGACGACTGGATCACCTCTTACGGCCCCGGCGGCGAGCGATGGTACCTCATTGATCTCGACGCTGGAGCCGTTTGGCCCCTTGGCCTGGCAGAGCCGGGCAAAAGAAGAAACATAAACACCAGTGAACATGGAAACAAATGCAGCCAACTCAAGAAGCCAGCACCCAATATTATCCTCCCTTTTCCGCGATTCATCTACGACGGGTGAGAGCCTAGCTGTCATTGATGTATTCCTGGCTAACCAGCATCTAATCCACTCTTTAGGTGCTGAGCCGAAAAAATGTGCATGAGACCCGCAATGGAACACTTATATTGAAAGTGCCAAGCAATACCCAAAGCGAAGCAATTACGAAATATCAAGTCATTGGTAACTTGTTCTGTCATCGTCGAACTACCCGCTGCACTGAAAGAAACTAAAAGAGCTATAACAACTACCGCAATGAGCCCACCCAAGTACACCCGATGCTCCGTTAGAGAATACATCCCTCGCCCACGCCGGTGCTGTAAGTGCCAGCGCTTCAAACATGGATCGAGCCAAACATGTCGAGCAGCCACTGCTATATGCCCCAGATGCTCAGAAGACGCCCATGAGCTGCCGTGCCTCCACCCTGCTAAATGCCCCAATTATGGTGAACCACATTGTGCATCTGAGGGAAGGTTATTGTATTGGGGTCGTTATTGAGTTATCTGGCGATTTAATAGTTTGGATCATGCTTCCCTAGATGCTCGTAAGATAATAGAAGTATGCAGGTCTGAGGTTTTGAGTGTTTATTTGCTTGATGTAAATAATGTACGGTAAATAAGGCCTGCGAACAAGGTTGAGCATTAGTACATGGCATGGATAAAATATTTCATCGACATCAGAATATCATCCGCAGAATTTACATTAGAGTTAAAATTCTGAATGATTTCCACCAACACATCTCTGGATTAAGTTAATTACACACAATTTAAATTCAAGACAAATTTATATTTAATTCATATTTAGTCTGACCAACTCATCTTTTCATTTTATCAAAACAGTAATTTAGGGGATTAATCTCAAAATCCAACTTAGTAATTTTGATCATTAACATTTCAATCAGTAACCCAAAATTCCATTCCATTCAACATTTCCTAAAGTTTCCCAAATAGATTTATCTAATTGAATATCTCTCATTTGAACATCTAATGAATATTATGACTCTTCAATATTAATGACTCTAACTGAATCAAAATCAATAATCAAATAGTTATAAAAATAAACCACTAATAATTGAATATCAATATAACTAAATAAT